TGGGTGGTTATAGAATTTAGGCATGTTCTGGGGATGCATCTTTTATGTATTTATAATCATGGTTGTATGTGTGTACTTGTCAGTAAGTGGAGGTAGGAATCTCAAGTGGGGTGCTAACACATTAGCCTGAGCACTTAAATACTGATGCATGTGCCTTTCGTTGACTTGACTTGGTTAAGAATGTCATGTCCTCAATGTTCCTTCAATTGTCTCATTCCGTTTGACTTCATTACGTGATAAACTGTGGCATACTTTTAAGCTTTTGGAATTGTGTTGGGTACGTAGGTCGTTCCTTCTATGCTTCTCGCATTAGTTCTCTCATTTGATCATAGATGGAGCAAGGATTCAAGTTCACTGAATCCAATTGGGATACCTTCTTGTAAAGGGCACAAGTACTTTTGGTATGCCCTGTCTGGATATGCAATTGGGCTGGTAGCTGCTTTAGGAGCTGGCATTTTGACACACTCGCCTCAACCAGCACTTCTATATCTGGTATGTTTTTTTTGGTGTGATGGTATTCAATTGTAAGTTTATCACCCATTGGGAGCTGCATTTTTCTTGCTAATCATTTGTGTCCGGAAGTCCCTTCATGTTAAGCGTGTGTTTAAATGGGAAAGTGAAAGAAAGGTTCTAACTTCTGATTCTGCCTTTTAGAAGGAAAATCAAGAACCAAAGGTTATCTTGATTTCTTCTAATGCATGCATGTCCTTGTTAAAAAGCGGGGGTGTTTGGAAAGCTGAGAGATTGGTTCACTGAGTTTTGATAGGGAATCATTAACTGGTGAAAGTTAGTAGTGTAGCTCCCAAAATTTCTATGGTTTCAAGTGCATTTCCTTTGTTTTCATTTATTGTTTATTATTTTGTTTTTTGTTCAGATCTCTTCTGTCATTTAAAAAAAAAACCTTAGAGCANATAGCTCCTAAAATTTCTATGGTTTCAAGTGCATTTCCTTTGTTTTCATTTATTGTTTATTATTTTGTTTTTTGTTCAGATCTCTTCTGTCATTTAAAAAAAAAACCTTAGAGCAAACACCATTCCGCCATCTTGGGCACTGATTTTTCTCTTCCTAATATTATGAATGCAGGTACCCTCTACTCTTGGACCTGTAATCGTCAACTCTTGGATGAGAAAGGAGCTAACAGAGCTGTGGGAAGGAACAACACCGAACATGAGGGAACTGGAGATAACAGAGCTATGGGAAAGAACAACACCGAACATGAGGGAACGTCATTCTCGCTTGATGGATGTTTGAGCTCATGATCTTCAGCCTCCTGCACCACATCAGCTCCTGCAGAGCTAATTGGAACTTGTAGATTCATTTAGATGACATTACCCTATTCTGGACAAACCTTAATAGAAACCATCATTTTTTTGAGTTTGACATGGCTGGCTACAAGTTTGTTGCTTGAAAAAGTACCGACACGGATGATGAATACCATTGCATCGCAGCTAGCAAGTAGCTACATGTGATTCACAAATATTGAATTTTGAATTTGATAAATGCTTGCCTTAGTCTCTCCACTTAAGAGTTAAATTTCCGTTTCATGTTTTCCAAAGCTACAGGTAAAATTAGTTAGAAATGAAATAAAGGCAGAAATTGGAGGATATCCTGTAATTCATTACGATAATGTTCATTTGATACTTCTATATCACAATGAGTTTTCGTTGACAGTTTTATATGCATCAATTGGTAACAAATTATTGGTTACTGGGGGCATTTCAATAGGGCTGCAAATGAAATAAACTTTCATGGAGAGTCCAGGATCAATCCAGATAAAAAGTCATCCGAGTTTGTTTATTTACATAATGAACTGAGCTCAAGTTCAATTTTAATGTANTTTGGGGCATTTCAATAGGGCTGCAAATGAAATAAACTTTCATGGAGAGTCCAGGATCAATCCAGATAAAAGGTCATCCGAGTTTGTTTATTTACATAATGAACTGAGCTCAAGTTCAATTTTAATGTAAACGTAAATAAGCCAAGCCTGAATGATGTTTTGTCCAGCCCAATAGCTCGTGAATTTAAACTCAAAGACAAGTTTGAGCTCAATTCGTTTAAGTATTCGTTTAAGTAGATGCGATGAGACAAGTCCAAAATTGGACAAAGAGTTAACTGAGCCCACCAAAAACAAGATATCCGAAGCTTATTAGGAGCCAGAACTGGGCCAAGCCCAAACATNATGTTTTGTCCAGCCCAATAGCTCGTGAATTTAAACTCAAAGACAAGTTTGAGCTCAATTCGTTTAAGTAGATGCGATGAGACAAGTCCAAAATTGGACAAAGAGTTAACTGAGCCCACCAAAAACAAGATATCCGAAGCTTATTAGGAGCCAGAACTGGGCCAAGCCCAAACACAGTGATTCTCACCTTGGTTTGGTTCATTTGCACCCTTCCGTTTCAATGCCTTGCAGCCCCGACTACTTGTGCCCAGCAGATGGGAAATGGCTTCCAGCAAACCATCTCTTTCCTATAGCCACAGTTGAAGACCAAGGCTGCACAATCCACATTTAAAAAAGCTTCGCNTAGTGATTCTCACCTTGGTTTGGTTCATTTGCACCCTTCCGTTTCAATGCCTTGCAGCCCGACTACTTGTGCCCAGCAGATGGGAAATGGCTTCCAGCAAACCATCTCTTTCCTATAGCCACAGTTGAAGACCAAGGCTGCACAATCCACATTTAAAAAAGCTTCGCTACCACGCGTAGCGTAACATACATGTTTACACATCTTTGCTTTCAGTGATTAAGTCAAGAAGAATCGTCCGTACAAGAAGTGACACAACAGCTTGGATACAAAAGCATTCTATGAAACAATCATTTTGCTCGGACTAGAACAGATGAGTTACATATCATATGCCTATACTATCCCACATTATAAAAGTAAGAAACAGGAAATCATAATCGGCTGTAGTTTTTCCCCCTCAAAACAAAACTAGTTTCTGATCATAAACATTTCTCCAAAAGAAACACGATAAGGCAAAACAAACATTTTTAGCTAATGAAATCAAGATTAAAGCAGGTAGAAAGAGCATTCTTCACTTCTTCTTCTCACCACCTCCACCAGATCTGCATACAATCACCCAAAATAAGTAGTCATGAGTTGATTAGTACACATTTATACATTATTTATTTAACTATATCTCCGTTTGTCAAACATTTCTAAGATATTCACTAGGAATTCCTCAATCTGAAACTAAAACTTAAATTTGACAACATTTTCATTTCTTCGAACATTTCAAAGATGAGGATATACGTAGCCATTATAGAAAATTACCTCATCTTGCGAAGAACATTAGACATCTCTTCTCTCTTCTTCTTTGCCCTCTTGTGAGTGCCCAGTTTTCTCTTCGCTACTTTCAATGCACGCTTGTCCTTCCCAACTTTAAGAAGTTCAGTAATCCTCTTCTCATATGGCGCAAACCCAGCAACTTCCCTGATCAGGTTCCTCACCAAGTGGATTCGTTTGCTAGTTTTCTGAATCACAACAGCAATTGGGCACCACAAACTTATGTTACAATCAAAACTAATTATTCAAGAAGTCCTTATCTAGTTAACGGAAAGCATCACATTAGTTTGTGTAAGCCAAAGCACTTTTCCACTGATATACACAATGAATTAGAAGAAAAAATGAAACCCAGTAACCAGGAGGTACTTACGCCTTTCCTATCTGATGGACGAGGAGCCAATTCCTTCTTGGTGACAACATGTCCTTTGTTCAGTCCAACAAAAATGCCAGTGTTTGGCTGTTTTGGAGCCATCGCCTGCTTCAATTATACCCAGATGCATTTTGGTGTGAGTTTATCAAACATCAAACAGAATATTCATCACAAGCATATACTAATTTTTCTGTTTCATCTTTAACAACGGCCAGCTGCAATACCAGTAACTTACATAAAAATTCAAAAATTGCTTGACAAGTTGCTTATAAATTAATTTACTATTATATCTCTAGACAAGAAACAAACATCTATATTTTGTATTTATACACAAACAGAAGTGTGAATATCTATCTGTGTCTGTAATTTCTTCCTCCGAGGTTAGTAGTTGGCCTAATGACCACTGCCCCCTTCCACCCTAAGGTCTTCGAATCTCGTCGTCGAGGCTCCCTACCCAAAAAAAAATTAAAATAAAAATCCTTCCTCCCAGTGGGTGAGGGGAAGATGGTCCTATCAAAAAGTGGCGTAGAAGTCAGCAATCGACTGTTTCGAATCAATCCCATTACATTCACAAAACACTTAATAAACCTAAAACATATAAATGCACCTGAAGATGAAACTAAGATGGGTTTTCTGTAAATGGTGTAAACGTTGTTTGTTTCAAAGAGAAAATACTGAATCTAAGCATACATCGGACAAAACTCCAAGAGACAAGTCAATACACAAAAATACACTAAAATTTAAGCATCGAATGAGAACATAATATGGAGTAGAAGAGATCAAGCAAAAGATTCACAGCTCACAACAAAGAAATGTTTACCTTTCGAACCCTTTGATCTGCGAAGATCTGAGGCCGGTTGGGAAGCAAAGCTAGGGTTTTGGGTTTGTGCTTCTTTTTATACCCCACCACGAGAATCGGGGTTAGCTGGGCATTAAAAGAAAATGATGACGGTATTATGGTCACATAAGTTGGAAAGACAAGGAGGCCATAATCGATNTATAGAATGTTGATTTGTTTAGTTATTTATGTGTGATAGTCTACTGCATCTATTTGGGTGGTTAGAGAATTTAGGCATGTTCTGGGGATGCATCTTTTATGTATTTATAATAATGGTTGTATGTGTGTACTTGTCAGTAAGTGGAGGTAGGAATCTCAAGTGGGGTGCTAACACATTAGCCTGAGCACTTAAATACTGATGCATGTGCCTTTCGTTGACTTGACTTGGTTAAGAATGTCATGTCCTCAATGTTCCTTCAATTGTCTCATTCCGTTTGACTTCATTACGTGATAAACTGTGGCATACTTTTAAGCTTTTGGAATTGTGTTGGGTACGTAGGTTGTTCCTTCTATGCTTCTCGCATTAGTTCTCTCATTTGATCATAGATGGAGCAAGGATTCAAGTTCACTGAATCCAATTGGGATACCTTCTTGTAAAGGGCACAAGTACTTTTGGTATGCCCTGTCTGGATATGCAATTGGGCTGGTAGCTGCTTTAGGAGCTGGCATTTTGACACACTCGCCTCAACCAGCACTTCTATATCTGGTATGTTTTTTTTGGTGTGATGGTATTCAATTGTAAGTTTATCACCCATTGGGAGCTGCATTTTTCTTGCTAATCATTTGTGTCCGGAAGTCCCTTCATGTTAAGCGTGTCTTTAAATGGGAAAGTGAAAGAAAGGTTCTAACTTCTGATTCTGCCTTTTAGAAGGAAAATCAAGAACCAAAGGTTATCTTGATTTCTTCTAATGCATGCATGTCCTTGTTAAAAAGCGGGGGTGTTTGGAAAGCTGAGAGATTGGTTCACTGAGTTTTGATAGGGAATCATTAACTGGTGAAAGTTAGTAGTGTAGCTCCCAAAATTTCTATGGTTTCAAATGCATTTCCTTTGTTTTCATTTATTGTTTATTATTTTGTTTTTTGTTCAGATCTCTTCTGTCATTTAAAAAAAAAACCTTAGAGCAAACACCATTCAGCCATCTTGGGCACTGATTTTTCTCTTCCTAATATTATGAATGCAGGTACCCTCTACTCTTGGACCTGTAATCGTCAACTCTTGGATGAGAAAGGAGCTAACAGAGCTGTGGGAAGGAACAACACCGAACATGAGGGAACTGGAGATAACAGAGCTATGGGAAAGAACAACACCGAACATGAGGGAACGTCATTCTCGCTTGATGGATGTTTGAGCTCATGATCTTCAGCCTCCTGCACCACATCAGCTCCTGCAGAGCTAATTGGAACTTGTAGATTCATTTAGATGACATTACCCTATTCTGGACAAACCTTAATAGAAACCATCATTTTTTTGAGTTTGTCATGGCTGGCTACAAGTTTGTTGCTTGAAAAAGTACCGACACNTTGATGGTTACACCGTAATAACGGAGTGGGTGGTTTGGTGGGATATTATCTATACTCCTTTTCTTAAAATTGGGAGTTTGAATCATGAAGTCTTCATTAAAGTTTGGTGATTGACCGTTATGCTAATCTAATTAGGTTTGGTCCCAAGAGGTATTTCAGGCGCAATCAACGACCTTATAATCTCACCGGCAAACACCTATTGCTAGAAATAATTAGTAATGTAAAAAATTTTACATTGAAAAAGTTGAAAGGGAATATAAGGGTTTAAAAGGAGCAACACACCAACTTTTATAAATTTGGATGGTGGAAAGATTTGGAGAGAAGCTCCAAATATTTCAAATCAATGGGTCTTGATTAGACTTTAAATAAAATAATCTTTAAAGTCAAAAGATGGGCACTTGGGACATCTTGGGCTTGAAACCTTTAAATAATTAATTAATTTTTGTATTAATTAATTGATAAATGATTTTTGGCTCAAGAGTTGTGTCTTCTCTATATATCTCTTTTGGCCCAAAAATTGTATCTCCTCTTTACATCTATTTGGCCCAAGAATTGTGTCTCTTCACTAAAGTATTATAAATACATGTACAGATCTTTCAATTAAAATATATACAAAATAAACGTTTCTCTATTTTATTCTTGAGAAAATTTTAAAGTTTGTTATCTGAAATTCTGTTTGGCTTTGTTAATCTTAAAGTAATCTGCCATAAACCTAGCAGCAACACAGTGGGGGCATAATTTCTTTAAGGACAGTGAATACGATCAAAGCCTTCTAATTTTGTGAAATCATATTTTGTTAACACCTATTTGGGTGGTTGTTGAACGTTTTTCTTTGCCCTCACTCATATTTTAAGTGTTAAAAAAAAAAAAAAAAAAAAAGGGGAGAATCTTTTGCATAGATCATACACATCAAGTGACAAGCCCATGTGTTGTGTTTAACCAATAAAAAGAGGACATACGAATAATTTGTCAGATGTATTACACGTTAGCATTTCCAAGAAATATGCTGAGGAAAAATGTCGGATCTGTGGCGGTGTATACAGTACCACTAATTTTAAAATTCAAATTTTCTATCACTTTATCTTCACAGCCCCCTCAAAACTTTTAAATCTCTCTCTCTCTCTCTAACCATTTTTTCCATCTCGATTTCACTCTTATCTCTCTTGAGGAACTGTGTTTCTTTTGGTTAACTTACAAAATAAATATCAAAGGTATCTTGAAGATTAATCAGGTTTGTTGGATGTTCTCACTCGACTACGCTAGTATGCTCGGAAATTGAGAAAATCGAGCAACTATGATGGATAATTTTATTATGCTTAACTATTTTGTTCATATTCACACACACACACACACAAAATTTTAAGAAAGGAGAGAAGTGAAAGATGAACTATTTTTGTTCGGATAGAGATTTGAAGTGTGTCAATCAGATGCATGGATATGAGTTTTTGATGTGCAGTATCATCCTTTAATTACACTATCCTTCGCTGCAGGTGCCTATTGAGTAAGCTGATTGTGCAACAAGCTACTCCACATCTATAGAGATGCAAATACACCAACGGTGACATTAGTCCAAGAGCGAAGTAGTTTGATTTTGATTTTCTTTCTTATGATTTTGGCCTGTATAGTGTGCCAATCAAATTTGTTGGGTAAAGAACTTCGATGGGTGTTCAAGAACTCATTTATATTTAGTAATATTAAATTAGTTAAATGATGGCAATGTTTTCTTTTATTATTTCAAGTATTTCTATAAGATTTATGTTCGAGACTCGTATTATATATGTTAAGGAATAAGGAATACACTGTGTATGGATGGATAACCAAGAATATGATAGTTGGTATGATATGGAAGTTTTTTTTTTGATGTTATAGTGCATCCCAAAAATTTGTTTGTACCGAAATTTCATGGGAAAAAAATTCTGGCAGCCAAAGAAAAGAATAAAAGAACACAATATAGTCTAGAGAATGTGCTGGCAACTAATTGAGGAAGCTTTGCATGATGGTATAAACTTGTCTTATGCACCACAAGTCAGCTTGGGTGACTAAACAAGAAACCAAAAACATATAACAACAAAGAGGAGACTGATATTTTACAAGACTGAAGGGGCTGTCCGTTGGGGGCGAGGGCGGTTAACAGTGGTAAAAAGTCATACATGTAGATAACTTAAAATTTATGATATTTTACAAGATGTTCCAAAAAAAAAGTATTTAGTTCATCAGAATCATCTCATTACTGATTCCCAGAAGTCCAAACAAAATTTCTCGTTGATTCTCACTCATGACCTTGTAAAAAACGTTGTCGGAGGAACTCCGAATCATTTCCAACATTGCAATATTGATTTGTAATAAGTTGGTAATAGGCATATTCAAACAAGGTACATTGGCAATATGAATGCCAAACAGTGGTACAAACTACATACACGCGCAAATCACATAATTAAAATATAATTATCCTTGATTTTGAAAATTTGTGTTATCTTCCATTCTTAGAACTGATGATTGCATCCCACTACCTACTTATAAACACATTATAACAAACTCACACGATAAAATTAATTTCATAATTTACGAAGGACAATAGGTTGTTACCTCACATGACTGTCCTGAGTTGTGGCATTTAGGATGTACATGCATCCGCCTTTGATGATTTTTTTCCTTCTTCTCCGATAAACTTTTTAGCCTATCATATGTTTTTCCTTTTTGTCTCAATCAAGGAGGATCCAACACTGGCATACTAGAAATTTCTAAAAAAATGTTCTCATCAATTGTATTTTTTTCTAATAAAGTTGACTTGTATTTTCTCACTTGATGTACAATGTTATCCAGGTTATTTTCTACAATCTCAACAGTTGTATCATCATCCGCACTAAGATTCATAATATTAAACGCCTTCTGCATTTACTTATTGAAGCACAATGTCCTAGATGAATTTTCATTACTGTCTGACAACAAAGTATTAGTCATACCAAGTTCCACCCCTTGCTTTGTATTTTTGGTCCATCTTTTCAAGATATACTGTTCGGGAATTTTGTTCACATAATTCAAATTGAATGNGTGATGGTAATAACGGAGTGGGTGGTTTGGTGGGATATTATCTATACTCCTCTTCTTAAAATTGGGAGTTTGAATCTTGAAGTCTTCATTAAAGTTTGGTGATTGACCGTTATGCTAACCTAATTAGGTTTGGTCCCAAGAGGTATTTCAGGCGCAATCAACGATCTTATGATCTCACCGGCAAATACCTATTGTTAGAAATAATTAGTAATGTAAAAAATCCTACATTAAAAAAGTTGAAAGAGAATATAAGGGTTTAAAAGGAGCAACACACACCAACTTTTATAAATTTGGATGGTGGAAAGATTTGGAGAGAAGTTCCAAATATTTCAAATCAATGGGTCTTGATTAGACTTTAAATAAAATAATCTTTAAAGTCAAAAGATGGGCACTTGGGATATCTTAGGCTTGAAACCTTTAAATAATTAATTAATTTTTGTATTAATTAATTGATAAATGTCTTTTAGCTCAAGAGTTGTGTCTTCTCTATATATCTCTTTTGGCCCAAAAGTTGTGTCTCCTCTTTACATCTATTTGGACCAAGAGTTGTGTCTCCTCACTAAAGTATTATAAATACATGTACAGATCTTTCAATTAAAATATATACAAAACAAACGTTTCTCTATTCTATTCTTGGGAAAATTTCAAAGTTTGTTATCTGAAATTCTGTTTGACTTTGTTAATCCTAGAGTAATCTGCCATAAACCTAGCAGCAACACAGTGAGGGCATAATTTCTTTAAGGACAGTGAATACACGATCAAAGCCTTCTAATTTTGTGAAATCATATTTTGTTAACACCTATTTGGGTGGTTGTTGAACATTTTTCTTTGCCCTCACCCATATTTTAAGTGTCAAAAAAAAAAAAGGAGAATCTTTTGCATAGATTATACACATCAAGTGACAAGCCCATGTGTTGTGTTTAACCAATAAAAAGAGGACATACGAATAATTTGTCAGATGTATTACACGTTAGCATTTCCAAGAAATATGCTGAGGAAAAATGTCGGATCTGTGGCGGTGTATACAGTACCACTAATTTTAAAATTCAAATTTTCTATCACTTTATCTTCACAGCCCCACTCAAAACTTTTAAATCTCTCTCTCTCTCTAACCATTTTTTCCATCTCGATTTCACTCTTATCTCTCTTGAGGAACTGTGTTTCTTTTGGTTAACTTACAAAATAAATATCAAAGGTATCTTGAAGATTAATCAGGTTTGTTGGATGTTCTCACTCGACTACGCTAGTATGCTCGGAAATTGAGAAAATCGAGCAACTATGATGGATAATTTTATTATGCTTAACTATTTTGTTCATATTCACACACACACACACACAAAATTTTAAGAAAGGAGAGAAGTGAAAGATGAACTATTTTTGTTCGGATAGAGATTTGAAGTGTGTCAATCAGATGCATGGATATGAGTTTTTGATNCCATGGACTCTAAAAAAACATCAAACAACCAAACAAATGAAGCAATTGTCTCATCGCATAAAAATGCACAACCAAACAACATATATTTTCCAATGATGGTTTACTCCCACAAATGAAGCACATATCATGTTGTATCTGTTTTGTATGGTAAGTGGTGTCAAAGATAACAACATATCCAAAAATCCTATAATCTAATTTTGATATTCCATCTGTCCAAAAAAAATTAGTCATTCAGTTTTTCTCATCAACTTGCATAGTATAAAAAAAACATGGGAATTTTTGTTTGCTAGTGCTTGAAATAATTAATCAAACTTTTACCATCACCGGTAGATTTTTTTTTTT